TTTGTTTATATATTTTTTTACTTTGTCTTTATTGTTAGATAATATAATTTCACTTCTTCCTCTAATATTTTCTAATGTCTTTCCGTAGAAACTATTGTTCATTAACTTCCATAAGTCTTTTTCAAAATCTGATTTTCCATCCTTTCTTTGTTCGGTATTAAAATCAATATATTTTTTTAACCATTATTTTCTTCAAAGGAAATAGTTCTATATACTTTTGTTACTTTCATACCGAGTTTAATATATTCCTTTAAAATACTATTATGAACAATATATTTCTTTTTATCATATAATGTTAAGAATAGTTTTTTTTCTTTACCTAATGGTTTATCTCCTAATAAATTTAATTGATAATCAGATAATTCTTCTTTGTTTACTTTTATTTTTTCTGGTGCTAGAGGATATCTAAATGTTTTCTTTTTGCATTTATTTGTATATTCTAAATCACATTTAATGATACATCCTCTACCTTCTGGAATATTCTTATAATAGTTGGGATCTTTTTCCCATTTAAAATCTCTTGTAGGTAAAGGTTTTGACATTGCCCAACCGTATAGATTATTAGCATCTAGGTATAATAAATACTTTTCTTCTAGAAAATCGTTTAAGTTTCCTCCATTCTTTAATATTTCTAAACATTCTTTCATTTCATTTTCATCTAATATTCTATTTCCTTCATCATAGTTAGGAGTATACTTATTAAATGCTTTTACATGTCTAGGACCTAGAACACCAGAAAATCCTCCTCTAATTCCTTTCTCAAACATTTGTAACATATCATAATCAGTTAATAATTCTAATTCTATTTCTGTATATTTTAATCCACATTGCCATGTTAAACCCGGTGCAGAATAACAATAACAAGGATCAATTTCATGATGTTTTAAAAAGAATTTTCTAAACTTTTCGAATGCATCTGTCAATATCAATACATCAGTTTTAAGATATAAATCATGATAATCTTGTAAAGTCTTACAATTAAAAGTTTCCCATACTTTTGTGCATGATTATATTCTTCTTCTGTAATTGTTTTTTGAGTTAATGTTGAATAAAATTTATCTATTGAAGGTAACTCTTTTTCTTTTAATCTTTCAGTAGAATCTATGTATTCATATGGATAGAATCCTTTTTGTTTTAGAAGAGAAACGTCATAGTTTGTAAATTCTTTTTCTAAAATAGGAAACTCATCTAGTGATTTAGCAATATCTGATAAACCTTTAGACAAAAATCTGTATGAATCAAGGAATCTTAATTTTTTAAATCTTGTTCCGTAATCTATAGAAATATATTCTTCTGAGTTTTTAGAAAGAAGTTTTACTTTATTATGTTCATCTTCATACTTCATCAATTCTTCAACTAAAAAGTGGAAATCATAATGAGATCCATTATGAAAGAATACAGGTAAAACTTTAATTGTTTCTTCTTTAAGGTATGTATAACTTATAATTTATTTTATTAAATATACTCATTAATTTTTCTATATATTTTTCTAAAGCATCATCACCAACATAAGAAAAGTATTGTGATTCATAGATTTCTGGTTTTTCCGAATGAACGTATATTCCATAACTATTTATTTCTTGTTTACTTATCGGGTTTATATAAGATTTATTAGGATTTGGTTGAGATGAGTTTATAGGAATATTATTTGATTCAAAATCAGAATAGATAACAAATGGTAATTTATCTTTAAAATGATAATTTGTAAATTTAAGAGTATTTTTACCTGGTTTAGGCATTATTGGTTTACCGGATTTATTCTCATAACATATTTCTTTATGTATAATTAATGTTTTTTCTCTTTGAAATCCTTGTAAACAATTTCTACATATAAATGATTTATGATTATTCTTATCATACATAAAACTATTTAAATCTTTAATTAAACAATAATGAGTATTTTCATCACTTTCAATATATAATAGATCAATTACATTTTCACTTTCTATGTTTGAAACATAAACTGGATATAAAGAACGTTTATCTGTTTGATTCTCTAACGCAAATACGTTGATACTTAGATTATTTTGTTTCTCTACTTTTGGTATATCTTTTATTGATACAGGATATTCAATTCCTTTCATGTTAATTTCATTTTCATATTCTTTATATTTAGTTACTCTTTGTTTATCTCTAGAAGTAGGATATAACTTTGATAATATAGACCAAAGAAAACATTTATTTTCATTTTTGTTTTGAACATTAATAATATTATTTGATTTAAATTGAAGAGGAATATAAGATGAAGCTTTCTGATAATCATATTTATATTGTTTTACTATTACACTTTTAATATTGTTGAAAACAAAACCAGATCCTCTTTCTTGAAATTCATCTATCCAAGCTTCAAATTTATCTATTAAACTTACATAGAATTATGATATATTGTTTTGTGTTATGATAACTTGAACAGGATGAGAGTAATGACTTTCTATTATATCAAATGCCATAGGAGTTGAAAATTCACTCGTCATTATTATTTTTATTTTGGAAGGAAATTGATTAATAACTATTTTATCTTTTAATAAGTTTATATGTTTAGTTATATCCTCTTCATCTATATCATTAATAATAATTTCTGTACTAATATCTTTGAATGATTTTGTTTTAGCTTTCATTTTACTAGGCTCGTTTTGATTTTAAAATAAGTTTTTATAATTTTTTAAGTATGATTTGGATTAATCCAAAAATTACCACAGTATCTTTTAGGTGTTTTTCCTATAACACGTTTGAAGTTATTAGTTTTTTCACAAATATCACAGAAAAATTCATATATTGAATAAGATTCATAGTTATAATCATCAAAAGAATGTTGATAATGATCAACCTTTATACATATCATATCTTTATCACAACATTTTGGTCTATCAAAATTTAGAACTTTACCACAATCTATTCTTTTTTCTTTTAATTTTTTATTATGTGGAGAACCATTTTTATGATTACCATAAATACCTGCATTTTTAAATTTTCTATCACAAACATCACAATATTGTTCTTTTTGTTCCCAATACATTTTGCTAATGACTTAAAATTTTATATATTTTAAAGGGAAAATAGCAATTTACTATATTACTATGGTGTGTAAAAAACGTTATTTTAATGATTTATTAGTTAAGAAATAACATTTTATGTAATTAAGACGTTATTTTAGTGATTTGGTTACTTATCATTTTGGGGTGAGCTAGACTCGTTCAGTTATCATACTACTGAGTAGTGTGATATGCTACTATTACCTGAAAAAGGGAAAAAAACAATTTTTGGGTGGTGCGCTAGACACGCTCAGAGGCCTTACTACTCATTAAGATGTTACATGGGGTACATGAGACTCCATCTAAATGTTGATAATTTACGATACCAAAATAAAAGTCATCACGCTTATCATATATTTTTATGTGAATAGTATCGTTGTTGATAGTAATATAACGATCCAAAAAAAGAGGCATTAAAATTTCAATTATTCAACGATCGAAAATATAACTTCTATGATTGTATAAACGAGGCCATTTTTACAGCCTCCACACGGCAAAAATAACATTGACATAGCAAAAAAATGAGAGAAAAAAAGTTTCCTAAAGACCGTCCAAAATGATGAAATTAAAGAAATAAAATATAATGATAAAAATATAAGCACACCTTTGTGGATAGGGACCTTGAATCAAAAATATCCAGCTGGCTATATGATTTCTCGTGATTTTGCTTAAGTGCCTGCTCGTACCTGACAAAATGCACCGAGGGTTGGTTTTTATGCCCCCACAATGTGGGAGCATATAGCATTGCACTTGTCCGTCCGTCCTTCCGTACGTCCCGAAATCTTGTGAACGCAACTCCTCTAAATCCGGACGGCAAATTTTGCTTAAACTTCCAGGGATGAACAACCTTAATGTGTAGATGGTAGTAAAGGAAGGAATTTTCGTTGCGAACAAATTTAACAGAATTATAGACCTTTGTTTTTTTTTTTCACTATATACTACGTAGAAATTTTGTGAACGCAACTTCTCTTAAACCGGATGGCAGAATTTGCTTAAACCTCCAGGGATGAACAACCTTAATGTGTAGATAGGAGTAAAGGAAGGTATTTTTGCTGCGACCAAATTTAACAGAATTATGGCCCTTTGTTGATTTTTTCACTATATACTATGTAGAAATTTTGTGAACGCAACTCCTCTTAAACCGGATGGCAGATTTTGCTTAAACTTCTAGGGATGAACAACGTTAATGTGTAGATGATAGTAAAGGAAGGAATGTTCGCTGCGATCAAATTTAACAGAATTATAAATACCTTTAAACGTCTATTTCTACAGAACTAATTGATAACTGATCACCAAACTTTGTCTGTAGCATTCTTGGGTAGTCTTTAATCAAGTTTGCACATATTGATTTGATTGGCCCCGTTTAAGCTAAAGCTTAAATGCCCCAGGAAATGACATTCCTTCAAATTATTGTTTTAACATATTCTATGCTCAAATTTATTATAAGAAAATATTGATAATGGATAATTTCCAACACTGAAAAGCAGTTGTTTCTGGTGAGCGAATCAGGGCCATCATGGCCCTTTTGTCTTATTTGTACAATTATTTAGTCAAATTTTAAAATAATCTTCTTCTCTATAACCATATGCAAAAGCTTAGATGTTTGGCAAGAAATATTGGACATTTGTAAAATATGTCCCTGTTCCTAAAATATTTGCACCACATAAGTTGTCATGGATTTTCCTTATATTTATTTGGAAAAAAACTTCTTCATCTCTAAAGCCACAAGTAATTTTAGAGCAAAAGTGGCATGAAATATTATCTAGAAGATATCAACTTAGATTGTTCAAATTATAGCAAGGGATAGTCATAGATTTCTTGACATGTATACAGTAGATTTTATTAAAAACCTCTTCTCTCAAACAATTTAGGCTAAAGATTAGCCATTTTTCATGAAACATTGTTATGTAGAGCCCTACCAAGTTTATTCTAATGATAGCCTTGGGTTTAAATTTGCCCAAATCTGGGAAGGTAAATAGCTTTCCTAATATGTTTATATTTGTCACTTACATGAGCTACAGCTTGAATATTTGGCATGAAACATAGTATTGTTAACCCCTTCTATGTTTGATAAAATTATGGCATTGAGACTAAATGGGCTCCAACCATGAGATGGCATGTCCACCTGTAAGGGGCTATGGATTTTCCTTATATGTATAACAACGAGTAACTTCCCTTGCACCCATTGACTTTACATAACAGTCATTGACTTCCATAACAACCAGTGACTTACATAGTAACCAGTGCCATATGAACCTGTGGCTTCCACTGTAACAATTGACTTTTCATAGCAACCAGTTCAATAAGAACCAAGGATTTCATAGCAACATTAGGGGCGTCCGTGGCCGAGTGGATAAGGTTGTTGACTTCAAAACCACTTGCCCCTCACCGCTGTTGGTTCGAATCCCGACAGGGACTTTAATACTTTCATGTGAGGAAGCTATCCAGCTTGCTTACGGAACGTCGGTGGTTCTTCTCGGGTGCCCGTTCATGTCTGAAATAATGCACGGAGGGGCACCTGAGGTCTTCCTCCACCAGTAAAGCTGGAATGTCGCGATATGATCTATACTGTGTCGATGTGACGTAAAACCCAATCAAACAAACAAACAATCATAGCAACCTTTGACTTTCAATAGCATCCAGTAACTGTCATAGCAATCAACCACTTTTATACCATTTTTAAATTTTGCTTAAATTACTGTGACTGTTGTAAATATACAACACTTATAAACATACTTACACATTGAATAATTTATTGTTTAGTATAAAATTGACTTGTTAATGACCTTGACATCCTATGAGAAGACGTTAAGTGTGGCCCTTGATTTATACAATGATAAATTTACATGAATTTTGTCAAATGATTTCTTTCTATCTGCCAGCAAATGAATTAAGTTACAATGCAACTTATGGCAAAATATTTGGGGCATATGGCTTTATTTGTCATGTTTTAGGTTATAGATGGGCAGCATTACTTGTAGCAGGAAAAGATACGGAAGATGCAAACAGGGTTGAAATATCAAAGGCTTTGACCAAAGATGTTAAGGACTTGGAGAAGCTGTTGACATCTCTTGCACCTCGAGTATTTGGGATAAGGTTTGTAAATGATCTGTGTATTGTTCACCAGCGTAGAGTTTGTCAATATATTTCTTTTTCAATTAATACATTTCAATATCAAATTTTTACCAGGTTTTCAACGAAAATGGGGTTATTTTATTGCCGAAGTCGGCGGGTGGGCGTTCGGGCAGGCGTCAACTTTTGGTTTCCCCTCAATTACTTAAGTTTGCTTTGGCCTGACACCAAACTTGGTGTGTAGGTACCTTATATCAAGAGGCAGCTTGGGATTGCTACCCAGGTGTCTGTGATCAAGGTCAAGGTCACTGTAGCTAAAAATAGAAATTCAGTTTCAGCTCAATAACTTGAGTTTGCATTGGCCTATTGACACCAAACTTGGTGTATGCCTGTATGGATAGCTTATATCAAGAGGCAGCTTTGGACTGCTACCCTGGTGTCTGTGATCAAGGTCAAGGTCACTGTTACTAAAAATAGTAATTCAGTGTCCGCTCAATAACTTGAGTTTGCTGTGGCCTATTGATACCAAACTTGGTGTATAGATAACTTATATCAAGAGGTAGCTTGGGATTGCTACAAAGGTGTCTGTGCTCAAGGTCTAGGTCACTGTTTGCTTTGAATTGTTGACACCAAACTTGGTGTATGTGTAGGTTATATCAAGAGGCAGCTCGGGATTGCTACCCAGGTGTCAAAAGTCAAGGTCAAGGCCACTGATACTAAAAATAGAAATTCAGTTTCTGCTCAATAACTTGAGTTTTGCTTTGGCCTAATGACACCAAACTTGATGAATGAGAAGCTTATCGTTGCAGCTTTGGATTGCTACCAAGGTGTCAGGTGTACCCAGTTTTCACGAAATAACTTGAGTTTGCTTTGACATTTTGACACCATACTTGCTTTGTAGCAGCTTTGGATCGCCACTTAGATATCTGGGAGCAAGGTCATGGTCATCTGCTTACAATAGAATTTTCAGGTTCTTCTCAATAACTTCAGTGTTTATTTACCTATGTCACATCAAAACTTGGTCGTTGAAAACCTGGTTTTCGTCGCATTGCGGCGCTTCTTGTTTTTCCATAAAATTTAATAAATTGGCATTGTGCATTTTAATTCTAAATATAAAAGGGGGTGTATTCAACAAAGTGTCACAGTTCTGAACTTGTCATAATTTAGGGGAGGAAGTGTGTAAACAGCCAGATAGCTTAGTTGACTGAGCATAGCTGTGGATCAGTATTATGTGCCCAGGTCAGGCTGCACATTTATCCCAACCTGTGACACAAATATATGGTACCTTAATCCCAAAAAGAAAAAAAGTGCTGCCTTTAATCCTTAAAGAAATTAACAAAAATATTTATATTCATAATAGAAATTGAAAACCACAAAACTGTCAGTTTAAATTATATTTTTAACTGGTTTGTATGAAAAAATCATGCAGTTACGAGGGGTTATCCAAAAATTCGTGGACTTTCTTTGTTGCGTAAAATATATTTGAGATATTGATTAGAAATTCTTACACTGCTAAGAAGAATAAATAACAAATAAACACAGAAAAATTCATGTTAATGTCTTTTTATATTACAACAATATTTAATTTTACATAAACACATGTCAGCGACCGCGGCGCACTCCAAAAAGTTATTGACGTCAACGTCATAGTATTTAACTCGTACAACTTATGCTCCAACGTTACGTTAGTCAATAACCATTACTGCTTCACAACGTAATGTCCATCACTAATTTTATATGCCACTTAAGCAATTATAATAGTGAAATTTTATTTTCTCTGTTCGCCTTCTGTTTTTTGTTGTTGTTTTTTTTAAATGTTTTTGTAAGTGCCATTCCCAAATTACAACAAATTTTATGATCATGATATTTTCTAATTTCTGCGTGTCCGTCATTTTCCCGTTGTAAACAATATCGTCGATTGGCGTTTCTGGCGATTTCAACAAAAATTAACGGAAATAATGTCCATAATTTTACAGAATTACTTGAATGACATCATAGAAGAAATATACGATGTTTAGCGGGTTTTCTACGTTAATTAGTAGTTTTTTAGCAAAAAATATACGATGATTAACTGCGCTTTTCTACCGTGCGCCGGGTGCCGTGTATGTCCTTATTTAAAAGCAATATAAAATCATTATTTATTGACACAGTTAACTGTTCGTTTCAAAACGTGTTGATAATATTCTACAATGTATGCTGATAAAATTTCATTACAATACACGTCGACGTTCAAAAGATATATAAAAAGTCCACGAAATTTTGGATAACCCCTCGTATATCAAAGAAAATCCAATAAACCTAAAATGTTCAATTCGTCCATCACAACATTTTTATCAAATTAGCCCTCCTACAGGTACAGTTACTGTTGACCAAAACTGAAATGGCAATGGTATAGGTACCCATAGAACTATTATCTAAGACATACCAATCTTTTGTTAGTACCATATGTTATGTAGAACAAGGTACACATAAGAAGTGCCCTTTCACATATCTAACAGTCATATGACGATCTGTTTAATCCGGGCATTCATTTTCCAGAATTTACCATTTGACACTCAAGGGAAAAAAATCTTTGGGATTGTGTTCAAGTTACCAAAGCCCTTAATATGCTAATTGCAAATGCAGAAGATTTTCTGCTGTCTTAGGCAGTTCCATACTTTAATAAATCTTGTAAATGTCCTTAAGATTGCGAATCAAAATTGTATATTGACAGAAAGAACACAGTCAGAATGATTCTGAGAATCCATAATTTACTAAGGATGTTTAAGCCACATAATATTGTTGTTGTTTTTTTTGACATACAAATTTATATAAATTACAATTCTCGGTTTTAATCGGTTGTAATTACTGGCCCATTTTTGCCAGGAGAACTTATTTCACTAAGAATCGAGATGATTGTATATTTCTTAATGCTTCCATGTCGCCATTTCTGGATTACTTGTAACGCAAGGACATTGTTCAGACATTTTAAAACAATATTTAATAGAAATGCTGTAATAACGTTGCTACTGCATCTTTCTAATTTGCCTTACCTTAATTGTTCTATTTACTTAGGATAAATAATACTGAAGTTTCTAGAAGCTCAGCCTGGCATCATCATGAATTTATAAACTAGCATATCCCATTCAACGAGCACATGTAATTTGAGCATGAGTCACTTGTAAACAGTAAAATATTTTGTAGCATGTTCATAGTGCATTCTGACTAATTTTAAAGCAAACATATTTATAAATAAAGATTTTATGACAAAATTTTATTAACTTTTCGAACAACAATCTTGAAAAGAGTGAGAAGATTTGCTGTATGCATCGACCATAGCGAGTCAATGCTTTCTGACGGGGTTTATATATGTTCCTTTTCCTGTTCACAATTCTCAGATACTCTCTATGCTTTATTTGCTACTGTGTTTTTTAAAAAAACACCCATCAGTTCCTAAATAAACCTGACTATTTATGCATACATATTCTTTTCAGCAACAACAACGTTCGAACAGTTGTACCCTCTGCTCCAGACAAAATAGATGATGGAGAAAAATTATGGCCAAAGTTCAAAGAAAGCATCCGTGACTTTAGTCAGAGAACAGATATAGATACCATGCTCATATATATTTCCTGCCATGGAGCTCGATCAAATAGGTCTGAAGATTTCAAGTTTCAACTTGGATCAAGTCCAGATGACAGTATCACTCTTCAGCAATTTGAAGAAGAGCTAGAGCTTTTGGGAAAGATTGAAAAACTGATAATTGTGTTAGATCGATGCTACCCTCCATTGGTAAGATTAGAGAAAAGGGACAGAGAATACATTCAGATGAACTCTTGTAAGCAGGACCAGAAGGCGCAGATGGATATTAATGGAAGCCTCTTTACAAGATTTTTTATCAGAGGATTAAAAGCGAAGTCAGAGGGGAAAATTTGTCCAGATAATTGTGAGCCTTGTATTGACTACTGGGATGGGAGTAAAGATTTCATAACAGTTTACAATTTATATGACTACATCAAAGGTCATTTAAGTGATGAACAAACTCCATTCTGTACGACTCAAGTGACTGATCATAACATTGCATTCTACACAGGTGATAGAGTGGAAATACAATTCAGTCATAAAGACTCCTCTAAAAACATACCGCTTGATCATATTAAAGATATGGAAGAATTGAAAAAGAAATTGAAAGAAGCGTTTGGTCGTAAGTTATAACTTTTATATATCTTGAGAGTTATATTTCAGTTCAAGAATTTTTGACAGTTATAGATACATGATTAAAAAAAATATTCTTACTTTATCAGATTCGATTAAAAATATGCAATATCTTGCATCAAAACAAATACAAAAGCTAGATAGCTTTTACCTCACCTGTCACAAAGTGACACGGTGAGCTTTTGTGATCGCCTTTCGTCTGGCGTCTGTCTGTCAATCAGTCGTCCATCCGTAAACTTTTACGATATCTCCCTATAAGCCGCTAAACCAATTTCATCCAAATTTCACAGGAATGTTCCTTTGGTAGTCAACTTTAAAAAAAGTGTTCAAAGAATATAATTCCAAGCAGAACTCTGGTTGCCATGGCAACCGAGAGAAAAAAAACTTTAAAAAATCTTCTTTTAAAAAACTGAAAGAGCTAGAGCTTAAATATTTGGCATTAAACATAGTCTAGTCAGTGCCTACAACGTTTGGTTAAATAAAAGCCCTGGGATCAAAATTGGCCCACCCCGGGGGTCATTAATTTTCCTTATTTGTATAAAGTACAAACTTAAAAAAAAAATTCTTTTAAAAAACCCAAATAGCTAGAGCTTAGATATTAATCATGAAACATCTTCTAGTGGGTGCCTACCAATTTTTTTTTTTTTTAAATCCCTGCGGTCATTGGCCCGCCACCCCATGCCAAGGGGTCATTGTTTTTTCCTTTATGAAAAACCCAAAGAGCTAGAGCTAAAATATTTAGCATAAAACATCTTCTAAAGTGTGTCTACCAAGTTTGTTCAAATAAGGGCCCTGGGGTTAAAATTGGCCCCGCCCCGGGGATCATTGATTTTCCTTGTATGTGTATAGTAAAAACTTGAAAATCTTGAAAAACTTGAAAAAGAACTAGAGTTAAGATACTAAGCATGAAATATCTTCTAGTGAGTGTCTACCAAATTGGTTCAAATAAAAGCCCTGGGGTCAAAATTGGCTCCGCAAGAGGGTCATACTTTTTCTCAATATGTTTATAGTAAAAACTTAAAAAATCTTTAAAAAACCCCAAGAAGCTAGAGCTAAGATATTTAACATGAAATATCTTCTAATGGGTCTTAACCAAGTTTGTTCAAATAAAAGTCATTGGGCTAAAACTGGCTCCCAGGGGGGCTATATACAGGTGAGCGATTTCAGGGCCATAACGGCCATCTTGTTTTATCTTTTTCAGAAGAAAGAGATGAAGTCTGTATACTAAAAGATACCTTCAGGAAGGTTGAAAAACTGGACCAAAATCTCGATTGTGACACCATAGACAAAGTAATGCTTGCTTGGGTCCAAAGACACAGACTATATGTTACTTTTAACCCTTAACTATATTGTTAATCCAGTTTTTAATGTCCCCCTTTGAAAAGGGCGCACATATATTGTTTTGCAAAATGATGTCTGTTTGACAACTGGCACACTATTGAACCCATACTTTCTTAGTTATATTGATTTTATCCAGTAAAAACACTAATTGATTTTGAGGTCATGGGTCAAAGGTCCATGTCATATTGACATTGTATCCTACCAATAATTTGACAACACATAAGCCCTTGGCCCTAACACTACTTTGGTGTATTATTATTTGCTAATACATGATCCCTATTTATTATGTGGTCGCATATTCATAGGTCAAGGTCCAATTGACCTTGTATGTCCACATTGTTTCCCGACCGAACATGTGTAAATAACGATGGGTCCTTTTGCCTCAAATTACATAGGTGCATTTGTCTTGGCCAGTAGATGACCCCCTTCTTTTTTTTGGTGGAAGACCAAGTTCAGATTGGTCTTGACTTTAATCTTGCATGCGAAAACGTTTTCCGACATGAACTCTTTATTTATATTTTTGCATTTTATACTGTCAATATATCCACTGTTGGTTTCGTTTAAGCCAATCATTCTTAAATTGCTCTTATTTGCTTCGTGTTCAAGATAATAATTTCAGTACCAATTTCTCGAAACTCTTACATTTTCAGATCAATTTTATCACTAAATATTCAACCTCTAAATATGGTCTCTCTAAAAAAAATGACCTGAACTTTTTAATTTCAAATTCAATCAACATCAGAAACTCGACCATGGTTTGTTTCTATGTTGCCAGAATCAGTTAACGTTAATTGACCAAGAATGCGACAAAATTTACTGACCTAAGCAGAATTTTTTCATGAATAAGGTTTAAAATTTTCGGTGAGCCGATAAATATTTGATTTTCGAGCAATAAACAATTTTATACCTGTTTGTATAACTATAAAATATTGATAGGATCAAGGTTACGCACACTAGACTTGTAAGAATAACTATTAAGGTTGCAAACATTCTGTAGTGTATATCATAACTTGTGTAAGTAGTGTATGGCTTATATACTCTCCTTTCCCAATACTTGCTTGCGACCATGTTGTTATTATAATCAAATACGCTCTCTGCATGTAATTTAATCAACACCTATACTTTTTCCTGAATACAGCCGACCAAGTATAAGAATAACGAATTACGTTGTTTGTCCCCATTTGCTCCCGTATGTTTTATAGTGCATTATCACAACTGTTATGTAAAAATATTTAATACATACAATGTAAACAGTCAAACCGGACGCACCAGAACGTATAAAAGTGCAGGTTACATGTGCAAATTGATAAAATGTAGCGCAATATTAGCAAAGTTTTCTAATAGAATTCCATTAAGTTCACTAATGCAATAGAACACAAAATAACCATTTGGTAATCCAAAATGGTCTGTTTACACCCATAAAAAATATTTCTTCCGGCTCGAATGAAAATGACAAACGTTTCAATTGTACTAAGAGCACTTCAAAACAATCCAGAGCCACCAATACGATGAATATTTCGGACCATAATTCAACTTTTAGAATCAGTGACCACTCTGGATAAATGAAACAAGAAAAACATAATGTGAAAATTGCTGTCTATTAATAAGATAATGAAAGAGGAAATAATTTCATACCGCCTTTGAAAGCACTAGCTTAAATAATTATCAGCCAGTATTGGAGTCAAGGATTCGAAAGAATGGAAAATCACTAAGATAAAGAATTGGCAATTTGGCAAGGTGAGGTCCCTGAAGAACAATAAAAACTAACATGATTAGAAGGAGCCGGTTCAAGCAGTCGTTTTGTTTGCTGTGGTTGTATATTTGTATGTAGCACGAACATGTATATTTTACATATTATATCTATAGTTTTATGAGACTATTACCTGTTTGAAGGTTAAAGTGAAAATAAATAAAGAGTAAATATTAAATTATAACAAAGGATTGCTAGCCATGTGGATTCAAAATTTACACCCATATCTGTGTTTGAAGCTTTCAACTTACTGAAACACTTTCTGATGCGTTCTTGTAACCAACCACGACGGTATGACCATTTATCTTTGTATGTAAGCATCGTGCCATAAGATTTATTAAAGGAAAGTGTACACATATACAAGTTTGTATCATATGATATATTTGTTTACATGCCTCAAAGATGTATTAGTCATTTGTATGAATTTGTATGATTATTGTCATTGATTAACCACGTGTTAATGTTACTGTCATATCTATGTAAACATTTATGAGTATATGTTAAAGAATTATTTGTATAATCTGCGCAAAGGAGTGCCTTTGAGTTTGTAAATTTTAAAAGTCAGAAATCAGCTCACAATATTTTTGAGCATTTTTTTCTAAATTGCATTTCAATATTTGTTATTTTTCTCAATTATTCCAATTATGACTGTATGCACAATAACGTTTTTGATTGTATCGTACCCAACTATTTGCTCATATTTTACCCAAATTTGATTGTTGTATTTCATGAATTTTGTAATTTAAGAATATATACAGAAGATGGTTTGTTATGACAAAAAAATCGTAGTTATGGATATTATTCGTACCCAGATAAATGCAATATGTTTTAAGTGTTTAGTAACGAACGTTCTGAGTTCAAAAGACTAATATTTTGAGTTAAAAGGTAAAATATTTAGTGACAAACATTTTGAATTAAAAGGAGTTTTCTTACCTTTTTAGGCACTTCCCTCCATGACCTTTGTCGTCAAAAATCAAATATGTAATTTCAGCCATTTATTTAACAACACATATCGAGCTAAACAATATACAATAGAAATGACAGTGCCCTAATACTTTAAACAATTGCTAAGTTATAGAACATTTATGTAAGAATTATTTTCTTGTTTGCATTGATAGACTGATGTTTTCTTTAAATTGATTTAATTTATACTATTGATTCATGAAGGTACATGTATATGCCTTAAACATGAAACATGAATTGATTATGAATGAAACAAACAAAACCAACAGATGAAAGTTATAAACATTACACTCTGGACTACATTAACATTTTCTTGGTGAAGGTATTGAAATATCTAATTTGATTTTACGTTCAAAGTATGTATTTATGACCCTTGGCATGTACATGTAGTTATTGAATTGTCCGTCTGTCCGTACCATGTTAACATAGACCGGTTAATTGGATGTATCCTAAGATCTATCTATACCATGGCTCTTACTTATCAATACATAGAACATGATCTTAGTAAATTACATAACTAATGCCACCATTTCTTCCAAGAAATTACCAGTTTTAGCACTTTGAATATGGATATGGTTACCTTAACCGGCAAGTTGTATAAATTATATCATAAATTTGTACTAATGGCTTTATTATGGCTTCATAATGTAACACAAGATTATCAAGTCCACATATATATAGCTCTATTTAAATGGAGAAAACGCTCTGGCGTCATTTGTATCAGCTATTAACTATAACGAAAGTTATCTAGTAACTTGTATGGTCTTTTTCTTTGAATTGGATTAGGGGTAAGTGGGTCAGATTTTATACATTACAGTTGCTAATACTGCCTGTATTCATTGATGATATTTTTCATTTTTGGAAGGAATATACCTTTGATTGTCCTATGTGTGGAATCTGGGCGGGGTGGGGGGACATTTTATGTTGCGAAACACATGCCTGTTAGATACGAAGGAATCACAAGGTCAAGGTCTGACACCTGTGCTAATAGCTTTTTTGTGCTTTTACCAATGTTTCATATTTTAAGAAAATCAAACAGTACCTTAGGTGGTGCTTTAAATTTGGGGTCACTGAATTGAAGGTCAAAGTCTTGCATTTATATACCTGCTAGATTCTTATTGGTAAGTTGACTATTTTTCAACTTCTCCATATAGCAATGACCTGCCAATTTATATTTTTTACAATAACAAATGGTCCAGACTCTGTCAAGTTATATAACTGTGTTTACAATTTTTGGGCATTTTGTCTATAACTGAGTGAATGCCATTGCTAAACCTTTTTGAAAATTTGTTGACAAGAATCTGGGCGGGGGGGGGGACATTTTATGTTGTGAAACACATGCTTGTTAGATACGAAATGCATTAATGTCGTTTTTATAATGAGTATGAGATTGCAGTGCCTTTAGACTGTATAATATGATTGCATTTTATATTACATAATTATATCTAGACTTAAAGTTTGCTGTATATGTTCAGTCGGTTTCTCTGGTTGTATTAATACTTTGTTTTGTATAACCAGATTTCTAATTTTGTATAATAAAATATTTTCATTATATCTATGTTTTCTTTATTAAACCCTGCAATATGATGTGGCAGAGGCAACATGAATATTGAAATAACTTTCTCCCGTCTGTACGTCCGTTGTCTCCATCGATTCTGTAAATCCTTTACCTTTTTTAGGATTTTCTTTGTTCAAATATACATTTCATCAAGGCAATGTGCAGAAACCTTGCCGACTGTGTCGTCTATTCCTAAGGGTTATCATTGAAAGTCAAGTATCAGGCAATGTAGCTCTGTTCCATTAATCCTGTACCGCTTGAAGGATTTTCAGCATTTTGAATCTTAGAAGTCTCTAGATAATATTACAAAAAATGTAAGAAACAATCTCGACTTTAATAACTTAAAATAAGGATGTAAAATAGAGTATATGTTAAGCAAGTCACGTATACTGTCATACCGTATTTTATGCTTAAGGTAGACCATTGGTAAGAACGACTCCGTGGTCGAGGAGTTACCGTCGATGACTTCTAATCCGATTACGTCTCTGGTGTGGGTTCGATCCCCGGGAGATGCTTTGGTAGTTTAGCTCGGAGGAAGGTATTCTAGTACTGGTGTAACTCTCCAGGAACGATGGTTAGGAAATTACCCGCCTATATGACTGAAATACTGTTAGGAAAAGGCGTAAAATGAAACAAACAAACATGGGTAATGGGCACTATAAGGAACTTTAAAATTGACAACATAGGACAGTTTTATGTCTTTAAGGTCACCTGTATACAAAATTTAAAGTCTTTTGACGTCGTATTTGTGATATGCAGGCTTTATAAGCTAAGATCCCTTTCACAATTCCATTTTATTTAGTTCCGCCCATTGTTTTCTCGTTTAGGGCACATGTATTTTTTCCTTGGGGACCATATGCCGCTTTTCATGGAATGGCACTAACGTGTCACATTGAAGGTTCCATGATAACCGCCATATGAACACATCTGCGGATGTTTCAAAATTCTAAATTTTACCAGTTCATGTTAAATGTTGAATTCTGCTTAAGCCGGTGCTAGGGGGCATGGACAATAGTTTGCACTTGACATCCATGAACAGGCTCAATCAAACCGAGTTTGCAACATTTTCAATTTTGCTGTGATGGGCTTTTTAAGGGATTCTTATTTCTCTCTATTTCGAATAAAATTGACCATGACGTTTATGAGTTATGGATATATTTCTGAACTTAAACTTTACGATTACTTTTTCAGAAATGAGGAAACTCCTAATAATCTATAATATCATAACGAAAAATGTTTTCCTATTGTTCATTGTCAAGAAACAAATAATAACATTCTGGTAACAGATTACACGAGCAAAATGATTGTTTCTTAACAAATTTGTTTTCATATGTATAAATGTTACCCCACTCCACCCCCTTTAAACAATTATTTGACTATTCCCCTTTATAAAAACCATTTTTAAAATATCCCTGAAATATACCTTAATGACGGGCTGTTTTCAAAGTTTGCCTAAATTTTCTTAGATCATGCAAAATATAAAATACTTTTATCGTGTAGTTTTTATTAGCTCATTCATTAATTTCTTTTCATTTATATAATTATTTATTCATTTATTTATCAATTTATTTTTTAATTCTTATTATGTTATTATGTTTTATTATTAGCTCACTGGTGCACCGAAGGTGAGCTATTCGTATCAAAGGAGGATGCTTTGCGTCCGTTATCCGTCGTCATGCGTCAACAATCGTCTTTTTCTCTATAACTGCTGGGAATATTTACTTCAAATTTGATCTGTAGCATCCTTGTGACAGTCACACTTACATTTGCTTATATCATTTCAATTGGCCCCTTTAAGGGGTCAACAGAGCTAAAAATAAAAACCCTTTAAACATTTTAAACAACAGAACTAATTGATGGATGATCTCCAAACCTTGTCTGTAGCATTCTTGGGTAGTCTATTATCAAATATGCTCATATTAATTTGCTTGGCCCCTTTTAGGGATCTTTAGCAAACTACCCGCCTATATGACTGAAATACTGTTGGGAAAGGGCGTAAAATGAAAGAAACAAACAAACAAACTCTCAAATTATAAGAGATAACAACATGAAACTTTGAAGGTAGATAGGTCTCATTGGGTAAAAGTGCAGTGCTAAAGAACCATAACTCTGCCTTGTCTTATTTTGAAGTTATTGCCCTTTGTTTATTTGTACGTTTTGACTTTTGTCCGGGACAGATGAACCACATACATTCCTGAAAGATACTCATATAAAGAACTGTGGGTGGGTTTTATAATTAATAAGTCGGTAACGATCGATGTTCGATTAAATTTTCTATTGGCACATCTCATGTAACGCTCTTTAGATCATTAAGGCATGAAATTCTAAATAGGCATTATTAAAATATAGGGGAAAATCACCGTTCTGCTAGAAGGCTCACCTGACATAGTAACCTAGCGGGGCATTCTAAAACTGTTAAATCAATGCTCTGCTGGTTTGTAAATATATGTTCGTCCTGAATGCTCAGCTGGCAGCCCAATTGTGCGGGGCATTCCGTTCCGGAATATAGTATGAAATAAATGTTCTGCTGGAAAACTCAGTTAGGAAAATAATTTACCAATATGTAACGAAATATTGAGAATAAACAAGACCCTGGTGGTTTTTAAATTATACTCTTATATAGATAAGATAATTATATTAAATCTGTAAAATCGGTAGTTTTCGATGACCAAAATTTGTTTTGGTACATCTCGAGAAATGTTCCAATAGATATTAATTTACAAAAATATGCTGTTTACTGCTTATTTCACTCTTAAAGTAGATTGATTAATATAAATTAATAAAATATTATGATTAGATGATCTAAGATATGATATGACTTAACATGATAAAGGTATAAGAAAGATATACAGGATATTTGTTTATGTGTAAGATGAATTTTATTTCATCTCGTGAGCTTTAAAATCAGTATTCCCACGAGTGGCGTAGCTGAAAAATAAGTTTGACATTCAACGTTAAATGGAGATGATGTTATTTATTATATTAAAATATAATGATCACTTATTTTAATAATAAAAACAAATAATTCCAGTAGAAGAAAAAGTCACACCATCCGACCTTATTTCCGTTACTAAAGTAGAAGTTATATTAGACCAGACATTTAAGGAACTCCACCAAGTTTTTTTATATGATGCAACAGGAAATATGCTTTGGAGATAACTTTTCCTATTTATGTAGGTCTAGAGCAATAACTTTCAGATCATTCACTCACTCTGTGTTTCAAGACTTTTTGTTTTGTTTTATAATTGTGAAAAATGTCCCAAAATTTAAAGCGTTTTATTGCTGTTTTCTCAAATCGGCTTTTCAATTTATTTATAAAAAATGTCATATACTATCTATCGCAATCTCTCTGTTTTATGTGCTCCAGCGGGTCTATGAAAAAAATCGATTTTTTTAGCTTTTATACTTCAGTGGAGTTCCTTTCAGCCAAATTGAATCATATCAGTTATGAATCGTAAAAGTAATGGGTGTATAATTAAATATATATTACCGTGTATTGACATCATGCACAACTTGTAAACAAATACAAATGCAGATTATAGGCTCGAGGCTTAATATTAACATTTAACACCATATAAAATGATATATGTGTTTTTTTGTAAAACATATTTATAAATTATCTTGTATCGTGATATAAAACATTTAGTCTTCAAATTTACTGCGTGCCACATTTTTACAGGGTTTCATAAACAAATTAATCATGTCAGTCCATATATAATTAAATAATTAGATAATCGATCCGTAGTAGATGAAATCGTTTTAATAAACAAAAAGATACATGGGTAAAAAAAACACTATATTACGAAAAAATTTTAATTACCTCACGCATTTAATTAAAAGTATTGGAGAGACCTCTCCACAATGTTGAGGATGACAGCTGGCGGCATCTATTTTTGCGTATTAATTTGAAGTAAATGAATCCCACTAAAATCATTCGAACCAGTCCATAAACATTGCTATGCGCATGCTTCGCTACTAAATACGACTTTACCAGCACTATTAAGTGTTGAGAATTATTGAGGTTTATAATATTTTAAGCTATATAAATTGATTTTTGTTTTGTTAATAATGATTTCGAAAAATAGCAACAGTAAACATTTTTAATTGCTACAATATTGTGAAATTTGAAACAAGTCCTCTGTTTTTATTTATAATGGTGTATCTGGCCAACATCTCTTTTACTCATTTTGTTGTAAACAGTTTAGGTCATTTACAGGTAAGTTATTTATAGATACATCCTTCCTCAATCCAAATTAGATGAATGTCGCGCAACAGTATAAGTTGCATAGAATCAGCTTTCCCAGGCATGCTTGTTCTAAATATTTAAATGTCGCGCGCAAATTTAAAGTACTACTTTTAGCCCTGCAGCATCACAAAATATCAGATTTTATGAATGAAATTCCTTAGCTGGAAAAAACAAATTAATCAGTGTACTTTTCTGCTGTTAAAAAGTTTAAAGAATTGTCCATCAAAAGTCTATCTTGTACGCCATAAACGGTACCAATATATTTACTTTATGCAAGTATATGTTGCACTTAGTTGAATTGATGAACAAAAAGTTATTCTAATGAGTAAACATGTACATTATAATTTAACTATTATGTATTTGTATATTCACTATATCTGAATCACTTGTGCGCCATGTTGAACATTGTTAAGGCATGCCAGCACTTTTAATATAGGTCGCGCAACATTCAGGTCGCACAAGGAGCCGTGAAACTAGTTTCTACATGTTGGTCGCACGCCAGTCTACTTTTGTACACCACGCTATCTGCATGCGCAAACAAAAGCTTATACAAGTTAAATGATGATGCTGCCTCCAAATGATGTGAACAGGTAATAAATGTACTAAATCAGCCCAATAACAGTTGAATATCCCAAGCACAAATATTTTTTTCTCCATGTTCTAGGTATGTGCTCGTTGTTTAATAATTAAGTTACATATTTTTTTGAAAAAATTGAACCTAATGATTAAATTCGCATAGTAATACTATGT